GAGGGTCCAGAGGAGGGCCACTTGCATGATCAGGGGACAGCAGGGCAGGCCCTATGAGAGGCTACGGGACCTGAACCTGTTCAGCCTCCAAAAGAGAAGGCTGAGGGGGGGATCTTGTGGCCTGTTATAAACTAGTCAGGGGGGGATCAGCAGGCATTGGGGGAGTCACTGTTCCCCCAAGCACCGCCAGGAGTGACCAGGAATAACGGTCACAAGCTGGCAGAGGGTAGGTTTAGGTTAGATATCAGGAGGCGCTACTTCACAGTCAGGGCGGCTAGGGTCTGGAACCAACTTCCAAGAGAAGTGGTGCAGGCTCCTACCTTGGGGGTTTTTATGAGGAGGTTAGATGAACACCTTGCTGGGGTCGTCTGACCCCTGTACTCTTTCCTGCCATGGCAGGGGGTCGGACTAGATGATCTGCTCAGGTCCCTTCCGACCCTAGAAGGTATGAAACTATAAGGAAATCATTTCAAGGAGAAATGTGATGGAGGCTCATAGCTTCCAGCCACACAGAACGCAAGCTGCAGAAAGCAATCATATAAAAACTCAGAGGCATGTTTCCCAAGAACATCCCAGGTACAGACAGCTTTAGTACTGTGCAAGGTGGCAGCCTGCTTAGTGGAGCCAGGTAACACTAAAGTAAGAGCAGTACTAGTTTGTGGCTTATGCCCTCCAGCAGGGCGGGCCCATCCTATCCTACAGAACCTGAGGCCACCAGGGGCCCCGCAGAGCGAAATGGAGAGGCTGTGGCCCCTCCTGTGTTTGCGGGTGTAACCCGCCTAGCGGGTTGGGTTTGTTTAGCTGTTCTGGCCAGAACGGAGGCGCCACACAGGCTGATTTGCCCCAGGCCCTGCACCCTGCTATGGTAGTCTCTGCCGATGGATCAGGGGGCCCCAAAACTATATCTTGCAGGGGGACCCAAAAAATTGTGGGCCAGCTCTGCCCTACAGAGATGAGCCTGGTGATATCGATGCACAGCCCAACTTTATCTTCAAGGATACCTTGTGGAAGGCTGTGCAGAGGAGGTCAAACACATTTTGGGGCAAGGATGCAAGAAAAACTTTTCTATAGAAAGAAAAAGGTAAATAAAGGGCCTATCAGAATTAAAAGGCTGCATTAATTGAACTGCAACAGGGAGAGTTAAGAGCAGAGCCAGCTTCCTATACCCTGCTTTCTGGTGGGTCTGAGTTATCAGGGTAGTTTGGACATTTTGTCAGATACTTTATAGTCAAGGTTAAAAACCTACTCCTGCAGCTACTGCAGTCTAATTTCATCACAGCTAGCTAAAGTACAGACCCTTGTGTTACCTGCAAAGGCTGAACAGTTGGGTGTGGGCTGCGGACACTTGAGGCATATTTATAAGGAGGAACTGCTCTGGGAGCAGGGGCAGCTACAGGCGGACGAGGAGCTAAATTCTGAGCTGCAGTGGCAACCCCTGCAAAAGAAAAAAGATAAAAGATTGTTATATATCAGCACACATGTCTAGATCCCATTTCCCAGCTAGCTCAAAGTTATCAGCATGGGACTTCGCTACAAGCAAGCACCAGACTCCTCTCAGCACTGAACACTGATACATAACCCAGTCTTTCAATAGTGCAGAGGCAGAAATACCAAGCTGAAGGACAGCATCCATCTGGAGAAAGTCTCATTTTGCACACTGCACCCTCTTAATTCAGATACTCTGAACTAAAATTCCACAGTGCAATTCACTATGGTAACATCCATGATTTATCAGGCCTTCCTAACATAAAGTTCACTTTGCCATGTGGGAGATGGTTGGGAAGGTGGTTAATTATCTAAGTATCAGAAGCAGCTGGCTACATTAAGAAGAGGCTATAAAACTAAGCCAGTTGCTATAAATGCTGTTTTTAAGACATTTTCTACTTACATTCCCTCCAATAAAGCAAGCTGGATATTGTACTCTGGAAAAGCCATTCAGAATCACACAGAGCCCATTTTCAGAGAGAGCAAATGTGTTGCAGAGTTGTAGAGACGGATCCCAAATGAAGCGCAAGGCAACCCGTCTGGATTTCCTCTGCTGTGCTATAGCACCTGCTGTCCCCAGACTTGCACTGCACCGCAAGGACAGGAAAGATTTAGGTGCTGTCTCTATCTTACTTAGGCCTCCTTAGTGGGTGCCTAAGGGCTCTGTGCCACCTCCTGGCATCAATCTTCAGAAATATGAACAAGAGACTCTGTGCTCCCCCCCTGCTCCCTTCATGCTGGAGAATCACTAAGAAAAGGACTGCTTACCGACTCTCTGGGCAGCAGCCGGGAGGCCACGAGAGGCCTGAGTATTGCCAGCGGGGGCCAGATGGCGCAGTGCTGGACGTGGCCCAGACTGGCGCATGGCATTTGGCATTCCTTGGAAGCCTACTGGGACAGATAAGGACAATGAGAGGAAATTCCTAAAATAGAAAGTGATTAGCCATCCCAAGACCATCAGCTGCAAGCCGCGGGTGGAATTTGCACACTGCAGGAGGGAGATGTGTTTGTTTTGTGTAATCCTTGCCCACTTTGGGAAAAACAAGGGAGTTCTGACTCTCCCAAGTGAGTTGGCTTTAGAACTAGTGTTGTTTGCTGGGGTCCCGATACAGAGATGACTGTGGAGAGCACGGGCAATAAGAGAAATAGATGAACAGTTCCACTGAGGACTGGCATGGCAAGGCTTCAATCACCAATAAGCAAGATTCACTTCAGTCACTAGCAACAGTGGACCACTAGGAATAATCACCCATCTAAAATGACATCCAGTCCGTCCTTCAAGGGGTAATAACTGCATATGATCCCTCAACTCTAGTGGCATAGAAGATACAGGATGAGCAGGTACACAGAAGAGAAGAATGGGAGAGCAAGAGGGAAAAGGCACTATAAAACCATAGCTTCTTTTCTAGCCTGCTCACCTTGTGGCCTTCCCCCTTGCTGCCAGCGTGGGTTAGGTCTCATCTGTGTCATCTGATTGGGTGCATAGTAAGTCGGTCTGCTCTGAGCCTGTGGAGAGATCAGAGAAACCCTGAAGGAGTTCCACCAGAGCAATTGACTGAAAATGCTTGTTTACTGGTATTTGGCAGCTTTGCCTGGATTCATGCAAGGAGATCACAGAACAGAGGAGCCATGGAATGAATCCCCCTGGCTTGGAGACTTGCAAAGTCAAAGCCTGGTTAAAAAGCACAGCAAAAAGACTCAACAGGGCAGCTACAGGTTAAAGGTTCCAGTTGGGTGATGCTAGTAACACTGAACTTTGCTAGACTCACCTGGGGCACAGCAGGCATGAAGTAGCCCCCAGCAGCAGGCTGGAACTGGTTAATGATGGTGTTGGCTGGCAGGGCCCTCATCCCAGCAATGCGCTGCATGTACTGATTGGTGAGATGGGCCTTGCGCTCCTCTTTCCTCTGTGCCAGCGCAACATACAAGGGCTTGGAGCCCACAATACGCCCGTTCATCTCAGTCACAGCTTTGGTCGCTTCTTCAGGGGAGGAAAAGCAGACAAAACCAAACCCTTTGCTTCGTCCATCCTCTAGCATCACCTGCAACAAAGAATAAATGTTAATACAGCAGCTTAATGCAGGTTGGACTGTGTCGGCTGCAACTGGCCTAGCAGCCTATCCAAAATTCAGGGAACACAAGCTTGAACAGTGATCTTTCTCCCCAGGCATCAGAAAGGTAATAGTTGTTCTGCAGAGACATTGGTCATTCAGCCATGTAGCAACTGCCATTGTTTCCAATACAACCTCCACCCTCCTTCCCATTCCCTGACAAGAAAAATGAACGTTCTCTTTATTCAGAGAGCTTTCATATTCCTCAGTCAGATAAGAGCTATCGCAGAGGTGTAGAGACAAGCACTCAGTGAAAGAGAAAAACCACCTGTCTGGATTTACTCTGCTTTGCTGTATGCACCATATGTCCCCAGACTTGCACTGTGCTGCAAGAAATGGGAAAGATTCAGGTGCAAGTAAGGAAATATAGGACTTGTGGCAGCATTCCTAGGCCCCTCATGCCCATAGAGGAGTCACCTGAACCACAAGTGAGTTTGCCATAAGAGAAGAAGCAAAGGTGCTCAATACTGTCCCAAAGGAAGATCGCACTTAGCCCAACTGAAATCCACTTACTGACTCGTCCAAATTACCCAGACCCGAGACCCACAGATATGAAAACTACCCTGCACCCTAGATTCAAGACAGATAACAGTCCTTTTTCAAATCTATGATTATGAACCTTCACAGTACCTTGGCACTTGTTATTGATCCAAACGGTGAGAACTCCTTCCTCAGCTTTTCATCATCAATAGTGTCATCTAGGTTTTTAATATACAGGTTAACTCCCTACAAAAAAAAAGAAAGAACATCAATACAGAAAACATCCTTTTCATTTAAAAAAAAAAAAAAAGTATTCCAGGAATGTTGAGCACAACCACCTGTGCCAAATCCATACTCTGCTTACATAATCCACAGTTTTCTTCCCTTCATCTTAGAACTATAGGCAATAAATGTTGCAGAGTTGTAGAGACAAGTCCCAGCGTAAGTAAAAGAAACCTGCCTGGATTCACTCTGCTTTGCTGTAGCACCATGTGTCCCCAATCCTGCACTGTATTGCAAGGAACAGGAAAGATTTAGATGCAAGGTAGATGCTAAGCCTTACCACAACTACAACAAAAGTATGGCCCTTTGACACCCTCTTGTCATACACATACAGTGCCTGTCATCTTAAACAGCAAATTATGTGCATGAGACCTTAGCTTGATGGTTCCTATAGGACTCTGATCTATTCCCACAGGCTTCTAAATATTTCAGTTTATTGTCATAGCTCTGACCCCTGGAATTTCATCAACCCATAATACTAGGGGGTACTGCTTGATCTTGACTCCAGAGGTCAGCATTGCAAGACAGATAATAAATTATTTCTTCTCATGTTCCTTTTGAAGTCCACCAGCAGACCGAGTGAAGGTGGGGGCATCTTGTCAGTACTGGAGGACACATGTTGTCTCGCCATACCTGGTACCGACTGATTCTCTCTTGTTTCAGCTGCTCAAACTTCCGTTTCAGCTCTGCCTGGCGTTCTACTTTCTTCTGTGCTCGACCAACAAACACCATTTTCCCATTGATGTCCTTTCCATTCATCTCTTCCACTGCCTGGACAAGGAGTCAAACAGGAAATTCCTGTCAATTGCTGAAGCAAAGCAGCAGCTGTTTCTATTACTAAGTCTGATTACTGACAGCCCCATCCTACTTCCTTGGTTGTGGACTAAGAAGGCCAAGTTGACCATATTCCATTTATGCTCTTTCTACAGAAAGGTCCAGGAAGAAACAAATCAAAGTTATTGGCAGGGACTGTATGGACACAGCCCACAATTCTGGCCTAAAAGAAGTGATACATGACTTGACAACTTGGTCATAACGCCAAGTCTTGCTCAAGCCTATTCTTGGGGGAAAAAGCATTTCTAATCATCATTCCAGTGCCAAACACCTTCCATTCTCCCCCAGTGCCTACTCATGTAATATTTCCTAATCACATTAAAATTCCTGATGTCTGTACTACAGGAGGCTGTATGGATCTAGTAATTTGCAAGAGTATAGACTTCAGCATGAATAAACAATGTGGTGAAGTGCAAAAGCTTTTCAAGCTGGACATCAGAAGAAGTTCGTTAAGCTTTGCTATTTATCACTCCCCTTTCTGCGCCCCCCACCCCATTCCCATCTCTCATGCTCGGACAAAAATGTAGAACAAACATTGCTCATACCTTGTTGGCATCTTCATGTTTTTCAAAGCTCACAAAGCCAAAGCCTTTGGACTTTCCTGTCGGGTCTGTCATCACCTTAACACTCAAAGTCTTCCCTGTGGCCAAGGGACAGAATGAGGAAGGCATTACTTACACTAGATTTCCAGGCTTTACAAACTGAAATGAAGCTTCTCCAACAACCCTGGCTTGTTTTCACCCACCTTTGCGATACAGCCTCTGACATGCTTCGTAGGCCAGACAGCCACTATCTCAGTATTGCCCTACTCTGCCCTCAGAGAAACTCAGAAGTAGCACAGAGGGGGCAACAAGTTTCCATTACCCTGGCTACAAGGTTTACAGCTACATCAAGACTATTTCTCTATTTACCATATTTGCTGAAGAGCTCCTTCAGTCTCTCATCATCCATGTCATCCCCAAAGTTTTTAATGTAAACATTGGTGAATTCCTTTGCTTTGGCTCCCAACTCAGCCTCCCGCTCTTTACGGGACTTGAATCGCCCAACAAATCTGAAAGGAAAGAGGAAAAACTGCAGTGAGAACTTTGGTTTTCAAGGCTAGAAGTGCAACGCATTATTTGCAGTAGAGCAAACGAGAGTGCCTGTATGAGCTGGGGGAAGGTGTAACAGGCCAGAGACCAACCAGAAGTCACCTGTCCTGTAATGGGGAGGCAGCAGGAAAAGGGGGCCCACCCAGCTCTACAATGGAGAGCATGTAGGCAAGGATTACCCCCCCACCCAGCCCAACAGTGGAGCAACAGCAAATCCAGACTTGGTCAGGGAGATCCACCATCCCTGTAATGGAGAGGTAGCAGGCCATGGCTTGGGCAGGGAAACTCACCAGCCCTGTAGTGGAGAGGTAGCAGGCCAAGGCTTGGGCCAGAAGAACCAGTAGCCTTGTGTGTCCCTGTTAATACCGAGATGCATCACGGTTCATGCGATCGTTGCTGCTTCTGGCTGTGACACTCACACTTTGCGGTCGTTTAGCAGCATGCCGTTCATCTTCTCGATGGCTCTATCTGCAGCATCCTGGGTCTCAAAGTGCACAAATGCGTAGCCCTTAGAGCCATTCTCATCACACACCACCTGTAAGTGACACAGCAAACCAGATCATCAGCTCTGCATTAAAGGCAATGCCGGCGATAGAATGCCAACTGCAGAGATGTCCAGAAACTTCCTCTTTTTATCACATTTCCACAGAAGGTATCAATAAAAAGATGAAAGTGTGGTCCTTGACTGAGGCTCTCAGGTAGTGCTAAAATATAAATAACAAATGCAAACTAAATACCGGCTGACACCACAGTCTTAGTTGCCGTTACAACACTCGGCTGCTCTGTGACCTTCGGCAAGGCACTTCATCCTCGTGCCTTGGATTTTCCATCAGTCAACTGGAGATGAAACTTCCTCTCCTATGTAAAGCACTCACATTTATGGATTAAGTGGAAGTATGGCCCTGACTCAGCATAGCTGATGCACCTCATACAAAAGCCAGAGTTCAGTACTTCAAGCATATGCCAACTATGACAGAAACATTAACCCATCGTTTCAAAAGCTGAAAGTTGTATTCTTGCTCATACCCTAAACTGCAGAGAACAAGCTTGTCCTTAGGTTGTCTTCAAACAACTCAGGTGGCAACATAGGGAAAACAAGTTGTTGCCAAAGGATGGAATTACCAAAGCATAACCTGCTCTGGATTTCAGAGATGGGGGTGTCTGCACAACTGATGACCAAGAGTTGGTGATCTCCCCTCCTTTACTCAACTGCACCCTCTTCTATGCTGCTTTTGAAAGTTCCCTGCCCTGAGCTTGGCAGTCACTCCCCCCTTCTCATTTCCCAGTGTCATGTGTTTGATCAGGTCTGGTCAACTCTACGCAGTTTAACTCATAGTTTCATAGTTAGTAGGGTTGAAAGGGACCTGAACAGATCATCAAGTCCAACACCCTGCCAGGGGCAGTAAAGGATGCTGAGGTCAAACGACCCCGGCTAAGTGTCTACCTAGCCTCCCTTTAAAGACCCCCAGGGTAGAAGCAAGCACCACTTCCCTTGGAAGTTGGTTCCAGACCCTAGCCGCCCTGACTATGAAGTAGCACCTCCTGATATCTAGCCTGAATCTACTCTCCGTCAGCTTATGGCCGTTATACCTTGTTACTCCCAGTAGTGCTCAGGGGAACAGGGACTCTCCCACTGCCTGCTGGACTTCCTTGGCTGGTTTAGAGACGGCCACCAGATCCCCTCTCAGCCTTCTCTTGTGGAGGCTAAACAGGTTCAGGTCTCATAGCCTCTCTTTGTAGGGCCTGCCCTGCTGCTCCGTGACCATGCGAGCGGCCCTCCTCTGGACCCTCTCCATGTTGTCCACATCCCTCCTGAAGCGCGGCGCCCAGAACTGGACGCAGTACTCCAGCTGCAGCCTGACCAATGCTGCATAGAGGGGGAGGATCACCTCCTTGGACCTGCTCGTGATGCATCTGTGGATGCATGACAAGGTGCAGTTAGCCTTCCTAGGGTTAAATGGATTTTCAAGGTTTGAAGAAGGTACTGAGTCTCACCTTGCATGACAAGATATTCCCAAAGGCTGAGAATGTATCGTAAAGTGCCTTGTTGTCTATGGATTTGTCCAGGTTCTTGATGAAGACATTCCCAACCCCCGACTTCCTCAGGGAGGGGTCCCGCTGAGACCACATGATGCGGATTGGTTTGCCTTTTATCACATCAAAGTTCATGGTGTCTAGAGCACGCTCAGCTGCAAAGAGAAGAAAGTAAGAATTTCTGCAGTGTAACAGATAAAGCACAAAGGAGCCAGTTGCATTTGTGCTACAGCCTTCTTGGCACAACACTTGGCTACATCGCCTCCTTCTGAATGCTCAAGGAGAAAGGGTCTGGGCAATGCCCTTGGAGCAGCAAGTCCACTGACTAACTGACCTTATTGTTAGTTCAGACATTCAATTAAATGGCCCCATTGTCTACTTTTAAAGGGAGGTCTTTGCTGCACGGTCACCGGATGAGAGAATAACGGCCTTAATAACAACCATTTTTCATCAGAGCGATAACGTAATTCAGAAAATGGAAAAGAGGCCTGAGCTTCAAGACACCTATGGCTTTTCTAACTTAGGAGGAAAAGATCTCTTTTCAGTCAAGTACAAATCAGTGCAGCTGAGACTGCACAAGTGGAGAAAGTGCCTTTTACTTTTCTCCTCTAGAGCAGGCCCCAAGTACTTCCACTTCCACCTCGCTGAGTGACCCTTGGCTTGCTTCAGTATCCTCCTCTAGAAAGTGCAGGTATTTACCCACTTCAGCCATAGGACCAGGGGTGAAACATCTGCTCAGTATAAGGAGGGATGGAGATGAAATAATCAAGGACATTCCTTTTCTCCATGTGGGGACATGTGGAAGGAGCCGATTCCCAAGACAAGGAAGGAATGGTGGTAGGATTGGGACTGAAGGGACAGAAATTCTGATGCATCTTAATCTTAAACTTACATGTCAGACATTCAGTTCTGGACAGAAACAATATTCATAACTCTTTTAAGGGTTCAGAGTGTTGATCACAGGCAAAGGAAGAACAAGGCAACAGTTGTGGATGATGGGGAGATCAAAAACTGCCTTTTGGGTTGGGCAAGCCATACAGCAAAACTATCTACAAGGCTCAAACCTCAAAGATGAGAAGGATTTGATCCCTGCTGGTTGGAGGGACAGGTACAAAAACCTGCCTGATGGACTGGAAGGGTAGTTTAAGACACGTATGTATAGTCACTGCAGCAAACAAACAGGATGCCCTAATAATTCACTCTAACGACAGCATCAGAGAAGGACTAGACACACAAAGAAAACTTTGTTTCTCTCACGAACAGGGACGTGGACCTAAGCTCCAAAACCTCAGCAATGCAGATTGCCTTTTTAACCCATGCTGCAACCCTCCTCCAGGATTCTATTTCTGTTACCCGCTGGTATATTAAAAGCACCATTACTCGTACCCATCAGGATCCTGTTCATAAATTCAGATGCTTAGGGCACTTCTATGCCAGAAAATACTTCCAGCAGAGGGAAAGAGAAAGGAGAGACTGTGCTAATTCCCTGCATGAGGCTGGGAGAATGGGTCTACTCTAAAATCAAAGAACATTAATGGTATAAGAACGCTACATTCCTAGATGTGCGGCTTTTTCCCACCTCAGCTTCATCCATACACTAGGATACTGGCTGTAAAAGCTCTGAATTGGATTCGAGGTAGCACAGGTTATTTTTCAAATTTAGACCTGGGGCCTCAAGGAAAAGACTTTTGTTAGGTGGCTGCAGAACCAAGTCGATGGAAGTGGGTACATATGCGACTCTTCTGCTAATCTGAAATGCAGGAGTACATTTCCAACAGTCACAAAACTTGGAGTTCAAACACTGCAAAATGACCACCTCTGCCCCTTGAAGTATTCATTTGAACTGCTATGTGCAGAAAGGTTTCTTAAATGGAAAGTTTCCATATGCTATAGAAAGGGCTTTTCTATCCAAGTGCTGTCATAAACTTCTACTCCCCTCCCACAGCTGAAACTCCCCTGGACTGGTTCCTAAACTAGCCACACTAGCGAAGAATTAGGAACATATAAAGTTTTTTCAGTGGGGGGGGGGGGGAAAAAAATCACCTTACTACAGGCGTTTAGCTAAAGGGGTTAAACTGGATCACCTAGCCCACTACATTTCATCCTCAAAATACTGCCCTCTGAATCAACACCGTTCTTCCAGCAACGTGCAGTTTGCCACAGCCCCTTTCCCGTAGGCACTTCAGAAGTCAGCCCGGCTCAGCTCGTCAAATTTGGCAGCATTTATTTATAGCAGGGGAAAGGTCCTCAAGAGGCATGTGTTGGCAAGGACGCACACTAATAGTATATACCATTTGCAGCTGAAACAGGGCTCCTGTCGAAAGGTGACGAGCAGTTGGAAGCAGCCGTGCACCCGAGGGGAATTCTGAAATGCTCCTAAGCAACTGCTGAGGTGCAGACTAGGCAGAGCTCTACTTGCCCGATCCTTTTACTGGTACTAACCAGGGACAGAATGGATTGTGCTGCTGTGTCCGTACCACGCTGTTCATCCCCAGTATTACTCCGTGAAGTCTGTTAAAGACCCCGTGTGAGCAAAGCGGTGAGAAGAGTCCAGGCGCACTCTGCCTTTAAGGCAATATTCATGTCTACCTGCGGCTATGACAAAGCACAGTCACGCCAGCACCTTAGAAAAATTGTTGTGAGCAAGCATGACTGATCTGAGTTAGTCCCCCCCCCCCCGTTGAATTTTGCTTCTCTAACCCAGGCGAACACCTTCACTTTTCCTTCGATTTAGGCCACAAAGCTTCAGCCATTTCAGTCTCTGTATCTGTTTCTCTCCCACTGATTACTGTCACCCTTCCAGCAGACCCATCTGCAGCTCTGGCATAGCACTGCAGCACACACACATTTTTCTAACGTCTTAACCCTCGTGTGTACTTCAGTCTGCTCCCTTCTTTTTGGGGGCAGGCAAAACCATTTACAATCTCCACAACCTGCCTGAGGCTTCCCACTCATTAGTCCCCTTACCCTCTCTCTGATCAAGCACTGAAACAATGCTGGCATTAGCTACTGGAGTGAAGCAGCAGAAAGGCTGTCAACCACACCTGCCAAGTTTCAGCCATCAAAAAAAACCCTGCACTATTCTGTTACAATGGCTGCCCTGAAATCGTAGTGCCCCTGTTTATTACCCCACTGTCATTTAAAAAATGAGACCAACTTTAACCACCCTTATTTCACACTGGTGAGTTTAAGTAAAAAGGCAGAGACTGAGATAAAATTGCAGAGAAAGTGACTGAAGTTCTTCCAATGAACTCTAGAAATGGAATGAAATTCACTGAATGCCCTTGGGCGAGATATAAAAAAAAATAGTTTGGCTCATTCTAATGAGGGAGGCTTGGAAAGGAATTTATTTGAAGATTAAGTAGTTTAAGTTTTAGACACTAAACAAAGAAGTAATTGAATAGAAGTAGCTCCTGGACCCGACAGACAATTGGGGTACTTAGGGACTGGAGCAGGTAAGGAGGTCCCTTGCAAACAAACATCCCCATCTTACATACCTAGTAACAGGAACGAAATGCTGCTGTACCCCTCACAGTTCAGGATATATGCAGACTCCAGGATATATGCAAGAAGCCAGGATTTTTTTTGGGTGTGTGTGTGTGTGTGGGGGGGGGGTGATACCTTTTATTGGAACAACTGTGTAGTTGGCAGAGATATGAGATAAGCTATTGGGCATGTTGGACCCTTCTTCAGGCCTGGGAAAGAAGCAAGTGCAGCCTAAGATAAATGCAAGATAAAACAACAGCTTGTGTTTTAACACTTGTGTGCCCTCTTGCTTTTTAGCTACTTTTGGTAACTTTGCTTTGGTCTTAGAGACAGCCCCTCCTCTACTCTTCTAAGTGCCTGTTTTCTTTTACATGTGGAGTTAAAATACAAGCCTTTGTTTACCTGGTATTTAGCTTGAGTTGTGATGGCTTCTCTCACACTTTGTGCCCTAAAGCTTAGTCTAACATCTCTTCCAAACTTGGTCCAATAAAACATATCATCCAAATAAAACCTCCTCGCTTCTCACATTCCTAGAACAGCCCTGGAGTCAATTACTATAAAAGCAAGCTCTTCCAGTCCAAAACTAAACAGACATAAAACGAATAAAGCAAGGACTAAAAAGATAACACTGCACAGGTCTGAAGAAGCTGTCTTCAGAGGTGCCTAGAAATAAGCTTGCTCTCTAAGCCATAGGAACGAACAGTCATGCTGCACTCAACCTGTTGATTTTGCTTAAGAGAATATTTGCTCTTCCCTGGACTTATATAACTGCTTATGTAGATGTGCAGAGTCACATTAAAGTTTTCCTGTTGTGTTACTAGCGTGGTTTAAAAAAAAAAACCTACCTAAAAAGTGTACGTGACCACATCAGGCTAGGGAAGTTTTACACAAGACGTGTAAAATAGCATATTCAATTCCTCTTCCAGCTACTAAGTCAAGTGAATCCCTTTCAGTCCTTTATAGTGAGAAAGGGAACCAAGCTAAAGGCCACTGTTATTAAATTAAACATCGACCAGAAATTTGGGATGTTCTCTTAGCTTGTCTATCACAGTATGGATCCTGAATGTCCAAATAACAGCTGGGCCAAAGGGAACTGCAACAATGCAACAGTACTTGCTCTTCCCAAATATGTCACCTGTCTACCACAGACCACCTTTAATGTTGTCCAGGAACACTGCTCACCCAGAAGATGGCCTGTCTAATGCCTGATTTCACTTAATTATCTAGCAAAAAAGCACATGTTTGAAAGCAGCAAGTTTACACTGCTTTGTATCTAAAGTAGTAGCGAAGTGGCCTGGCTGGATAAAGGAAGCATGCCATTTCTTCCTATTTGTAAACACATTGCACGATTAGCAGGTGCTGGACAAGTGCAAACTATGATCTACCTTCTTTGCTCATTATGTGTTACGACTTCAATCCCACTGAAAAAAAACAAAAGACTTCTGAACTTTCTTCTCTTTGTAATTTGTCCCCTGCTGAAATGCTACATTTTATGATGTTAACAGTAACTAAACCAGGACAGACCCCTTACAGCAACAGTACTCTCAGATACTTCCCCTCGTTTTTCATCAATATAGAAAACACCCGGGTAGTAAAACCCAGGGCTACAAGAGGATTCTTGCCTCTCTAGGCTGACGCCAGTATGTCCTTTCTTTAAGCTGCTCATACACAAACAGTCTGAAGTAGCTGTCATCTTCAAGAGGGAAAACAAGAATGACTCCTTTAACACATCTTGGTTGTAAAGCCTGTAATGAGCCACCACTGGCCTCGTCTTCACATCGTCCCAGAATATTCACTTTGCATTCTGTTTACTGCAGCAGCTGTCTCTTGCTCCTGTAGCTCAAGATCACGTAGAACAGGGATCTCTACGCAGAAGAAAATCAAAGCCTTTCAGGGGAGATCCTTTCAGGAAGGCAGTGGGGTTCGTTCGGCAGTTTCCCCTTCCCACATGCTATTCATCAAGGAGGCTCCCCAGACTGAATGCACTCAGCCTCTCTAACCTACAAGTAACCAGATACCTGACACTTTGCCAGTGTTGCTTCATTATGGAGACTTTACAAAATGTCTGCTGCTTTGCTGGGAGCCAACTACAAAAGAAGCCCACCGCTGAATATGGGTCTGTTTATTGCAGTGAAAGGATCCTGAAATACATTGGAAGCCACCTGTCCTGACCTATTTTCTTTTTTAAATGTTAAGTAGCAGCCAGGTTTTTTTTCTAAGTACAGTAACTAACCATTCCCTCCTACTCGCTAAAAAAAAGAAAGCAACTCCCTGGCCCTTCTACTTTTCGATTTGCTTTTATATTACTCTAAGGCTCCTTGAAATCATCTGATCTACTGATGCCTCCGTTCTGGGGAAGGTAAAGCATGAAAAGCTCGCAGCATATACACCTTTGTGTACCCCTTTCTCTTTTCACTTGGATGGTGCCCCTCTCCATCTAATCCCAGCTCTGGCCTGGTGGTTGTCTTGCATGACTCGGGGTGTAATGCCAACAGGAGATCACACTGATCCTCTTCCCACCTACGCAGATCAGCTGGTTTCATGCAGCGCTGTGAGCACAGGAAATACCAGGCAAGTGGTAACACACCAGGAAGCTAAAGGACCAGAAGAGGATCCCATGTGCCTTCTTGCTCTAGTGCATCCCTTTCTGCTAAGGCTTAAGCCACATGCGGCCCACCAGCCAAATAATGCATGGTACCCAACTCTTAAGTGCTCCATGAATGAAAACTAATCCAGTGAGATGAGGCTGCTTCTTACTGACCTGTCATCGGATAGGAGCAGAAGAGACATTCAAAGCAATCAGCACCAATGGGAAAGGAGGGAGAGATGCTACAGTGGTCTCAGACGCAGGAACCAGGAGACAGGACGGAAACAAGAGCAGCATATAGTCATAGCCACACTGTATAAAACCATACACGATATCCCAGGCAAGAACTGAACCCAGTTTATCCTGTTTTTTGGGAAGTTTGTAGAAATATAGTAACAGTAACTTAGCTCGTGGAGCAGAGATCCCGCATTCCTTTATGCAGAATTGGACTACGAGCAGAACCCAGTACCTGCTGCCATCGTAGTGAGCAAGGGGGGGGCTGAAGTCTGTGCTGCTGATTCAAGATTAAAGTGAAAAAAAAAGTTCCTTCCTGTAGTTTCACATCATGTAAAGATGCTACTAAGTCCCAGCACAGAGCAACATACTTGCACTAGACGGCTAAGGTTATGGCAACTAGGGCAGAAAACGTGACCCACTTTTCTTTCAGGAAGGCTATGCTCTGAAATGACCTCCTCTGCTCTTGGGCCTAGACTATCAGCTTGAACCAGTTAGAACAGCACCTGGAAAGACAGCCAATGGCAGGGAATTCCTTACGGCTCCATGGGACATGCATGTGGACTCCTCTTTACAGAGGAAGGCAAATCCAGAGCGAATGCCGCACAGCCACTTCACAACTGACAGCAACCTAGATCAGCCAAAAGACTGCTCACGGAGACATTACAATGCTCAGTCTCCCAAGCCTCACTTGCTGCTCACGGGTGCAGGCAGGAACAGGGGAAGACTCCCTCTGGCATTCAGACCAAAGGTCTGAGCAGAGGCTGACTAGCCTGGAGCTCCCCTTCCTGCCATGCCTGGCTGGTGGAAGACCCATAGAAACAGTCTATAACAGGACACTGGGGAATAAAGACAGGGAAATTCTGTCTCCAGAGAGCTCAGAATAAATAGAAAACTGGTGAACCAGGGATAGTATGTACCTACCGCAAAGGAGAAAGATTTGCAAGGCACTCCGGAGATACGAAGTGATTATCATTCCCCAGCGGCAAAGAAAAGCAGCCGACAGTTGACTTACCCGGTGCCAAGTTAAATGGCGAATCGATGGCTGCACGCAGGCACATGCAACGAGCAGGACGGCACGGAGAGATGGGCAGATGCACGGGCGCATCTCACTTACCGTCCGCTGGCTGCTGGAAGTTGACGTAGGCGTATCCCAGGGACCGCCGGGTGATCATATCTCTGCAGACCCGAATGGAAAGGACAGGCCCCGCTGGGCTGAACTTCTCATACAGCATGGCTTCGGTGACGTCGGGGTGCAGGTCGCCCACGTACAGCGACGCCATCGGGTAGCTGCTAGCGGCCGTATTCATCTTCCGCCCAGCGCGCGCTCCCGCAGGAAACTACTCTTTTTATTTTTTTTCCCCCTTTAGATTTTTTTTTTTTTTAAACGAAAATTTTTGGAAACAAAATTAAAATAAGGGAAGACTTAAAACCTTATTTGAAAAAAGATGGGCTCGCAGAAACGGAGGGGAAGACCGAGCAAAAAGGCAGGGAGGGAAACGCTGCTGGAAAAAGAAGAGATCAAAGCCAAGTTAGGATAGGAGCGGAGGGGGGGTTAAAGCACCCCAAAAAACGAGGGATTTTCAAGACTCGAAAGCAAGCCTGGGAACTGGAGGGGACGTCCGACTCCCACGAGGCGTCTCCTCCGCGAGGGGTTTTCCCACCTGCACTCGAGAGCAAAAGAATAATAATAGTAATAGCAACGATAATAAATGAGAATGGGGGGACCAGCTTCCCCCCCCTTCCAGGGAAGGAAAGAAAAGCAACCCCCCCAAAAAGCGCTTTCCCCGGATTTCTAAGCAGGCGCAGCTCCGCAGAGCCGAGGCCCGGGGCTGCTCGCGGGGAAACTTGGGCAGGAAAAACCAAACCCCTCCGGCTGCCGAGGAGGCGGCGGCGGCTGGAG